GAGAGGACATTAAGAAACACAGATTTGGTATAATAATGAGAAAATTAAATTGAAGGTGATAATTGTGTTAAATACATTATATTATTAATCCCTCATGACATTTAAAATGGAAAATATTTTTATTTTTAAGCCTAATACCTGGACTTGTTTTGTCCCATGTCTCAAGAATGACTGAAATACAAAAACATCAGATACAAATCAAAAAGTCCTGTAGCAGTTTATTTATTTTCTTGAACTGTCCAGCTGCAAGACACTTGATGGAAATCACAGTTCCAATGCAGTAAGTGGGAGTGTGATAAAGACCCAGTTGGATTCTAGGAATCAGATGTGAATCAAAAAGTCCTGTAGCAATTTCTTTATATCCAGTAGGGGCTTTGAGAATTCTTATTTGATCCTTTTAGGATGCTTTAGGTTTGGTTCCAAACTATGATTGGCATTCCAATTGCAATCCTGTACACATTGCTTAGGATGCTTTGACTAGCGAGGCACAGGCTCACTTCACTGAAACAGTGAGTCTTAGAGTCTCTTTATCATTCACTGAAAGCTAAATGTCAGCATGTTTATTGAAGATAAATACTTTTACAGTAAATGTTTCACCTGTCAATCAATCAGTCTTCTGTTTTTCAGTAAGTTTCTCTAGAATGTTAGAAAACACTTTGACAATATGATCCTTGCGGTTTATCAGATTCGTAGTGGTGGCTTTCATCAGAATGCTTGCAGTATCTTTCTAAAGGTAATCAAAAGTGCCACACGTAATATTTTTCTAAGCCGTCAAGAGTTGACAGTAGCGATTTGAAAGTGTTCTGACAAGGCAAAAAGTTGAATTATACTTCAATCAGTGTGTATTTTTGTATGTGTGTGTATGTGAAGACATTGAAAAGACCCTCTGTGTGCAGAAAAGGATAAGACGACCTCATGTTCTTTACGTTGTCAGTTGTTCTACAAGGAATGTCATACATAGAACCCAGGAATGCTGCCTGCAGAAAGAATTGACATATATTCTCCCTTTTTTCACTGTACCCTTTCCCGTCTCTCCTCATTTCCTTTTTCTCTTTTCTTTTTCCTCTCTTCTATACCCTTTCATGCTTTCCGTAGCTGCTCTGTCAGCTGTTGAAGGCACAAACTGCATCTGCAGGAGCCCATGTAACATGACTCGATACAACAAAGAGCTTTCCATGGTCAAGATCCCCAGTAAAACCTCTGCACGCTACCTGGAGAAGAAGTTCAATCGATCAGAGAAGTACATCACGTGAGTACGCATCTCACATCCATGTTAAAAGTCACTTTCCCCTCAAATACATCAAAACAGCTCTGAATTCAGCATTCCAAAGGTCTCTGAAGTATTTTTTAATGTATGTTGCAACTTTTTCACCACTTTCCAAACTTTTTATTTGTTGTCCTTGTAATGCCTTTCACAGGTTTTAACTTTACCTCATTGCTGCCACCAATTTATAAAATTACAAGTTAATGTTCCACCTTATATCAAGATCACAGAGATATGGAGCTTGTTATTGATCACAAGCCTGTGCTTTTCTAGCAGGGATGAGCTGTGGCGTTATTAGGCTTGAGAAAAATTCTGAAATTAAGAACTGACTTCATTTTATTCACAAGATTTAATTAAATTGGACATGAACCACAGGTTAAATTGAAATGACGGGAAGAGGAATTTAATGAATTGCAGCTCAAGGTCACAAAACAAAACAATTTAGTAAGACCAATAATTCAAAAATAGTTAAACATTTGAATGTTTATTGTTTTGAGAAGTCTTTAAATCTCACAAAGGCTGCTTTTTTTAAATAAAAAATACAATGAAATCAGTATTATTTTGAGGTGTGTGTGTGTGTGTATTTTTTTACTGCCACTTTTGATCAATTAAATGAATACTTGCTGAATAAAAGTATTCATTTCTTATTTAAAAAAAAACAGCTTCTGAACTGTGTGTGTGTGTGTGTATTTTTTTACTGCCACTTTTGATCAATTAAATGAATACTTGCTGAATAAAAGTATTCATTTCTTATTTAAAAAAAAACAGCTTCTGAACTGTGTGTGTGTGTGTATTTTTTTACTGCCACTTTTGATCAATTAAATGAATACTTGCTGAATAAAAGTATTAATTTCTTATTTAAAAAAAAAACAGCTTCTGAACTGTGTGTGTGTATGTGTGCGTGCGTGCGTGCACGCAGTACTTAAAAAAAATCATGTAATGCTTCTGGAAAGTGCAATTGTGACTGTTTATTGATCATTCATAATGAAACGTACAATTCAATTTATAAACTACACCTAAACAATTGGGTTGCTGTTGAATTGTATTCTATTTTAATTTACGTACTAAATTCTAATTTAAAATTAACATATATAATTGCTCAAGTACAAATTTAGGAAATTAATTATAATGGAATTGACATTGCTGTTCCACTACGAATGAAGCACAACCCAGGTTGTAACACTGTACATGACGAAATGGACACTGGAATGTGGGAGAAAGCTTTGGTTGTGTCAAAGAAACTGCCCCTGTGTGTTATTGTCCTACTTGAGGTGCGTTTGAAATGGACATGCTTCTCTACAATAAAAGGAACATTAGTACACCAGGACATTTGATGTGGCTCTTCAGACATATTTATTTCTCCTCTAGACATTTAGCTGACAAGTTGAGAACACTTTTGCTTTGTGTCAGGAAGATTCATGGAGTTGTTCTTCAATATAGTGACAGATATCACATCCTCTCCATTCATTAGTTCATCGTCATAGCTATAAGCTTGTGATTGATGTGTCTGAGATGTGGAGCTATTGGGAATACTGACTCTCTCACTCTCTCTCTCTCTCTCACACATGCACACACACACACACACACACACACAAACAGACAGAGATGTTGCTCAAGCGCCGAGTCAATTAAATCAGCATAAAGCAGACAGCATATCATCACTCTGGTGTCCCACTAGAGAGATAAGCTTCTCTAGACTGCTTAATTTTATGATAATAGAGAAAAAAACTTGTTTACTTTAACTCCTCTACACATGCACGCAAATTATCGGTCATGCCAAGATCAATCATCTCTGCAGCATAATAGAGGCGTAATGAATGGTTGCGATAATGCTAGTGTAATTGTTGTCGGGGTTTGGAGGTTAGCCCTCTTGCAGTTTACCAACTAACATCTAATAACCGTTAATTTGCCTTTGGCCCAGTCTTGAGACTGCTGTCAGAAAGGTGTTTGTGCGTGTCTGTTTGTGTCAAAAAGCAAAAGACTGTATCCTACTGTAAAACTGTATCTCTTTTATGTTAGGGTAGATGTCAACTAGTGCAGTACCATCTATTCAGTACCACCAAAAACACTAGAATAACTAGGTCTAACCGCAGTGGTACTGATATATTATCAGTACCATGACATTATAAGCAGCCATGACATTCTGTTGGTCATTAGGTTGTTATTTCTGTTGTATCACACTCTGTAGCTCCACCTACAGTGAAATCTCATTGGTTTAAAATCCTGCTCCAATTAGCTTAATATTAAACATCAAAAATCTTCTACTTGGCTGTGTCAGCCAACATAACTGTTTCTGGTGTGAACAAATTAATTACTTCTTGCAGCAAACTTGTTTTCTGGTTTTGCCATGAATGAAAATGTAACTTCAAAACATCTCTCTTTGTGTTGATGCAGGGACAATATCCTAGTTCTGGATGTGTTCTTTGAGGCTCTGAATTATGAGACCATAGAGCAGAAGAAAGCATACGAGGTGGCGGGTCTACTAGGTATCACAGCACACTGTATTATGAATACTGTGTCTTTCATCTTTTCTCTCTTTCGCTGTTCCTCTAAATCATAAATATATTTATGTTGCAGGTGATATTGGTGGTCAGATGGGTTTGTTTATCGGTGCAAGTATCCTGACCATACTGGAGCTATTTGATTATGCATATGAGGTATGTCAGCATCTAAACACAGGGTCCAAAATGAACTGCGAAGTAAATTGAGAAAATATACATAAAATTAATCAATTATTTTTGCAGTTATTTAACATAATTCTCTATTACATTAAAATTACATTAAAGGACATTACACTATTACATTA